CGTCAAGACCCGGCTCGCGTGGCGCGGCCGCCGGGAACACTCGCCGCGACGGCGGCGCCGGCAACACGCGCGGGCTGCCACTGCGCATGCGCCCTGCTCTGCCCACGCCCCCTCCAGCGGCGGGAAAAGGAGGCGGGGGACAGTTACTGCGCAGGCGCGCGCTCGGAGCGCGGCTCGGCGGGCAAGGCGGTCCAGAGCGCGACTCCACGCGGGGCTCAGTGCGCAGGCGCGAGCCGCCCGCCTCGCACGGAGTCGGCTGGTGAAGTGCGCACGCGCGGGAGTTGCTAGCAGCAAGCAGGCGAACCTGGGCCGGCGCGGGGCCTTGTGGGAGGGCTTAAGGAAGTAAAATGGCGGACCTGGCGAACGAAGGTAGGGGAGGCGCCGTCGGGGGCCAACCGGCGGCCGGTGAACGGGCGGCGGGAGGCCCAGAGGCCACAAGCCCGAGGGGGAGCACGGCAGAGTGCAGGGGTCCCGTCCGCTCTGGGTTAGCGGCCCAGCGGGCCCCGCAGCCGCCCCCCATTGCGTCCCCGCGGGCCGGGCTCACCCACCCGGCCGTTCACTCCCGGCAGCCCCGGCCCCTGCCACCGTCCGGCCGGAGGAGCCGAAAGGCCGCTAGAGTCGCGATCCCGAGGCTCTTCCACCTCGCAGGCCAGGCCCGGGGCTGAAGGGGGCGGGAGGCGCGGCCTCGGTGCCTCGGCCACGGATGTAAATAGACCCTGGGGCCTGGTCGTGGGCCCGAGCGCGCCACGCTCCCTCCCTCGCCCCCTCGTCCACGGCGGCCCGGCTTCTCCCCTTCCCCGGCCTGGCTGCCCATCCCCTACTCCTGTGAGGTCTTCGTCCTCCGCGGGCCGGCCCTACGCCGCGGACGGGGGATGCCTGGGCTGTTTCTACCCCATCCCCGCCCCGAACTCGGCCCCCAATTCCCGCCAGTTCCCCCGGATCCTTCGGGGTGCCTCATCTCCCCGCATTTACGCACCACCGCAGGATCAGGGCCGCCGAAAGTCCTGGCTGCTTTTTTGGCCCTTTTTGCGGCACTTCCAGAGAGAGACCGTGTGATCCCCTCCTCCGGATGTCTGACATCCCACCGGAGGGTTTATGACTCAGGTTACACTTCCGAATCGCCCAGAGAAAGCACTCCGTAAGGCTCATGTCCGCTGCCATCGACAGTCGTGTTGCCGTCGCTGTAGCTTCAGGCCTGTTTTTAGCTCCCTCCTCTTCTCGGTGCACACCTGCCGGCAAGCTCTCTACCTGTCTGGCTCTGATTCCCCCGTACGATGCTTCCTGCCTTTGGAGGGTTTTCCATACCGAATTGTACTGACGAATGAATGAAGACAGTAAGTGCTCGGCCTTGTGGCGCATTTGGGGTGGCACCAGGTACCATTCAAAGGCTCGACACACTGTTATGTCAGGTATGAGGTATAGTATGAGGGACCTGAGTAGAGTGGTCCCATTGCTTATCCAGGGCAGATCACACAGCTAGTAAGGTGCAGGAATGGCAACCAAGGTGGTCGTGAAGGGTCGAGGTGTCCCAACTCATGAAATCCAGTTAAAGGCAGAAGAGAAACTGAATGAGTGGGAATCGGTATGACATACTTTATATATTTACATCTTAACCTAGATTGTTTCTTGAACTGGAGACTCATATGTCCGGCATCATACTCGACATCTCCATTTGGATGTCTAATAGGCACGTCGAACAGCACGTCTAAAACAAAAATCCCGCTGCCCGCTTGCCCATGCCTCAGTTCTTCTCCCTGGTAAATTCATTTTTTTAATTGCTCAGGCATAAAGCCTTGAAGTCACTCCTGAGTCCCCTTGCTCTCATACTCCACAGCAAATTCTATCCGTTCTGCCTTTAAAATATTTCCAGAGTGACCGCTTCTCACTCCACCAACGTGGGCCTCCCTTCCCTCTACCGTTACCCATCTGGAAACTTCTCAGCCCAGAAGCCAGCGTGGGCCCCTGAAACCTCCCTGTCCTTGTCTGGATATTCTCCCTGACTTGCTGTGCTCTGACTGCCCTGCCTTGAATTGAAACAGGTTTCCCCCAAATGCCTCCGTGGCTCACTTCTGGTTTTTACTTGTGTTACTTTATTATTGAGAACTTCTCTGGCCACCTACGTCAGATTCTACCCATGTTCTCTACTCCCTTTACACTGTTTTGTCTTCTCTACTTATTGCCATCCGACATGCTGGCTTTTACTTATTTGTTTGGCTGCCCCCGCCCCAACATAATACAAGCTCTGTGAGGGCAGGGATTGTTACCTGTCATGATTACTGATGGATCCCCTGCATCCAGAACAGTGCCCGGCACAGAATAGGTATCCAGGATATAATGGCTGAATGAATGAATTCATCAGTGAGGATCCTGTTGTGGTAAATAGATTTGAGCACAAAGGGAAAATTGTTTTCCAGGGGATGCTGTTTCTAGCATATGCTGTACACATGAGCTATCCATTGTAAATAGCATAGTTGAATGAGTAAGTGTAAAATACAGAAATAGAATGTTTTGTACTTTGAGTTTTTCTCTAATAAATGCCACACTTACCTAGAATTTTGTCTCTGACATGAGTTCTGGGGTAGTTGTCCTCAGGAAGCCAAATCTTAGTAGATATTTATGCCTCAGATATTCCTGCCATCCTTTAATCAGTCATTGTGTGTTTCTTGAAGACCCATTTCTGGTCTTTTCTTGTACAGCCTGCTAGGATGCTTAATTTCTTATTTGCTATGTAAATAGGACTTCCTTGCCTGTGCTTTTTGAAGCTTTAGGGACTGCCGCATAGTCGCGCTTTTCCTCTTGCTGTTTAAGCTCCAGTCAAATGCCTTTTTGGCTTCTGCCTTTCCAGACTGGTATCCCAAATTGCTCCATCCTCATACCAAGTTCCTCCATCCATTCACCGTCTGTCTTCTCTGGGCCAGTCCCACTTCTGTGTCAGTTTGAGAGTGACTGTCTCGCCTGACTGGGCATCAGTATCACCTGGGAAGCTTTCTTAAAACCACATATGCTTCGTCCCCACACCCTGCAGATTCCGGTTCTGTGAGCTACTAGGTAGACTCTGGGTATCTGGACAGTTAGCAGCACAGGAAGCTCTGATATGCAGCCAGGGTTTGACCCTCTGGTTTGAGTAGTAGGTTAGGTGTGCTGTGCATGTGTACAAGGAAACGTTTTTAGTTGTATATCCAGTAAAGCATCCTGCTAGCCTCGTTGCCATGGTGATCTCCTCATGGATGGTGACAGCAACTCCCACAGCCCTGTAGTTCTGTAGTTCATGACTTTTAAAGTCCACCTGGAATGCTCCTCTTCTAGGAGAGTGTGTGCATGTTTTACATTTGTGTCCAGGGATCTTTTCTCCTGCTTGGCATTTCATGTTGATACCTCCCAAACATCAGGATTTGATGGTAGAGTTCTGTCCCTGGTAAAGGTAAAGAAGAATGGGAAGAGGGTGAGCAAGGTATATTCTAACCATAGGATACCTTGGATTCTAGATCCTGGCAGGTTAACATATAAAGTCCTTGCTGGCCTGTGGACATGCATGGTGGACACTGGGAGATGGTATGAAGCAGGGTTCTCACCTTTTGCACAGTGACATTTTGAGCGGGATGATACTCTGTTGGGGGAAAGGAGTGTCCTGTACATCGTAGGGTGTTTTGTGGCACAATGACATCTTAACCTACTCACTAGATGCCAGTATCCTCCCCCAACCTCAGGGGTTGGGACAACCGAAAATGTCTCCAGCCATAGCCATGGTGGGGGGAGGTGCAGAACCACCCTCAGGTGAGACCTACTGGTATTTCAAGTGATGGTGGAGACAGATTTTGTCCTCATAGAGAACTGGGTTTGTGTTTTGACTCTGCCATCTGCTGTGAGCAATTTGGGGCAAATTTATTAACCTCTTTGAGCTTGTTTCCTTGCCAATAAAATGGGCATAAGAATGACTGTACCTACCTCATGGTTGTTGTGAGCGTTACGTGAATTAACACACATACATTCCTTGGCACCAGCCTCAGTTCACAGTAATAAACACTTAACGCAGGGTAGCCATCTTGACTACAGGTGACTGTTTTAAACACGTTCGCTTAAGTGGTCAGCAAAAGTAGGTTTCCAGAGTGTGGGTGAACCCATACCACTCAGGGATACCCCATAATGGGTTGAGCCCATAATGGGAGACCAGCAGGGGCTAGGCTGTGAGTCCCCCTAAGTTCTGTCCTGCAAGTCATTGAGTGATCATCTGACTCGGCACTGTAGGCATTTGGGACCAGATAATTATCTGTCATGGGGGACTGCCCTGTGCATTGCAGGATCTTGATCGGTATCCCTGGCCTCTGCTCCCACTAGATGCTAACAGCACCACCCCCACCCTTCCTCCTGACAACCAAAACATCTCCAGACATGCCAGTGTCCCCTGGGGGCAAATGCGCTTCCAGTTGAGAACCACTGATCTGAGAGCCTGATCGGAGTGTGAGTCTAGAGATTTTCAAGAACAATTGACTTTCCTCAGTTTGCGCCTTAATTACTTAAAACCTAACCCCTGAGAAGATGAAGTACAGCTGAATTTTTATTGATTAGCTAGAATTTAAATTGTTCACTTGATCCTCAGTTCACTTGATCCTTACCATCCCCTTCCCCTGCCCTAAATTTTATTTTTAGGATACGGGATAAACAACTTTGAAAATTTTCAGGAACTTAAAAAAATAACTCTGGAGATATTAACCCTGGGATTTGTCCTGAGATCAGAACATATTATTTCACTCAACTGCGTCTCCTTTGTCTGTAGCAGAGAAGGCTTGTTGGTAACTGAGGGGTGTCAAGACTGCAGAATCTTTATACACATTGAAGAAAATCTCAGTTTTACCCAGGATCCTGTGTATAGATGGAAGCTTAAAGTTGTGCAAAATGTTACCTTCAAGTCTTCAGCCTGCCTTTCAGTTAACTGAGAAATGGAATTTTCCCAGCAGTCCTGTTAACCCTCCCGCATTCATTGGGTGTGAGGGCCAGTCAGGATCTGGTGTGTGCTTCTACCCCGGGGCCGTTAGAGTGAGTGGAGGCAGCAGGAATTGGGTGAGGTCAAAATGGTGTTTGAGGAAGCACAGTGTTTATGGGCAGAGAAGGGGACGTTTTAGGTAGAGGTTGAATGGTGGCCTCATGAGTTCAGGCACAGTGAGGTAGGAGAGGAGGGACATTTGGGGGCAGGTGGGATGCATTTGGGGAATCTGAGAAAAGAGCACCGGTCAGGAAAACTATCACAGACCATCAAGGCCAGCAGAGATGGCTGGCACTGACTTGGCCGTTGGTAGCTCTCCATGGTACTATGAAGCAATCCTCAGGCAGATGGATTTGCTTCATTGTCTATTCAGGAGCTGGTGCTGGTT